GGAGGAGTTTGTTTCGCAAACATACATGTATATACAACCCGGACAAGAGTGGAAGGAAAACAGGTGGAGGACACAAAAAAGGACAATATTGCACAAATATATACTGATACAAAGCAAGACATGGAGTTGTGTGAGATTTTAGATCAGAAGCATATTATTCTAGACTGCTTTGGTAATCCAGGACACAATCAGTGCTGAGAACTAAAGAGGTCATCACAACCTCACACAGACATATGGACAAGATGGGGGCCAGTCGTCCACTACCTAATGCGCCCAAGGGTAAGTAACAACAGCCACAATGGAAAGACTGTCTGAAGGATGCACATTTCAATGTACATTTTCTATTCTCAGACTCACTAAGTGCTGCAATAGAGGCCATCAGTGTGAGCACAGAACTTGTCGAGGAGGAACTAAAGCCATATTTGGACACAGTACTCAATGTTGCCATAGAAAGAAGTGAGTATTTCATGTTTTTGTTACTGTATAGAATTTAAGATTTAGATTGTTTGTTTGGGACTGGAGAAGTCAAGAGTGTACATGTATTAATGTAGACATGCATAGTACTAGTTGAGTGCTTATGCAACAAAAACTAGGCCCTCTGATCATTATACAGGATGTTATATCTTGTGACATCTCTTAATATATTATGCCTTTATAAAGTAGTTTCTTTAAAGTAAACGGAAACTGTTGTCAATTGGTATGAGCTTGTTTCAGCTAGTTAGATGCAGAATGTGCCAGCACTTTGAGTGAGTTCTGAAAGCTGCTTAGTGCGTATTGCTATTACACTTTGGCTATACCTGACCGAGGCTACTATCATAAGTTATTATGTGTCTCTCTGGAAAACTTAATTTTGCCTGGTCAGTTGCAACACTCTAAGTTTGAATATTTTTGCATAATGAACTCCAAACAGTAATATTTGCTGTCATCCTAAGCAAATGGTTTCTTTCATAGCTATGCTGGTTTTGTCTCTTGATCCACTTTGTGTTAAATTTATTCTCACATAGACAAATAATATAAACTTAAATCAGTGTTTGATGTGTAAAAAGCAGGATTATGTACAGTCTGATTATGTACTGAAATGATACAAGACCCTGTGAGGTTTATGTTGCAATAATGAACAAGTGACTGTGCGTTATCCCCTACATATCACAAATCATCCGAGCACAGGTGAGAAATCATAATTAATACATCAACAAGCATAGCTGTGAGAAGGATACACAACTCCTGTGGATTTGAAAACAGAGACGCTCTAATCCGCATTTGTCTCTGTGAGAGCCTTTGAGTGACAGGAACGATTAGCCAGACTGCTCCTTTGTACACAAGCAACCAGGTGGCCAGCTGTGAGCGACTTCTGTAGTTTGTGGAAACATCATTTGTTTATCTTTGCGTATGTTCACTAAGGACAACTGGATAAGAATGGTCTAGCTAGCATGATGTACACAATTTATCCAATTTGTTGTACTTTCAGAGGGATGGGATATATATTCATAACCGTTTAAAAGTTTGGGGTCAGTATAATTAAAATTAATAATTTTATTCTCCAAGGACACATTAAATTGGTCAACAAAAAGAGAGTAAAGGCATTTATAATTTTACAAAAAAAAAGTCTTTTGAAGTTTGTATTCATCTATGAATCCTAGAAAAATGTCAGTTTCCACAAAACTATTTAGCAGTTTTCAACATAATAATAAGAAATGACCTTTTCTTTCAGCATATTGGAAAGTTAATGTGCTGTAAATACAACTTTGCCATTACAGAAATAATTCACATTTTTAAAAAATATTAAAGTAGAGAATGGTTATTAATTCTAATCATATTCCACAATATTATTGTTTTACTGTATTGTGTATCAACTAAATGTAGACTTAGAGAGCATAAGACACTTCTTTTAAAAACATTAATACTGTACATATTACTCACCCCAAGCTTTGTGCAATGTGTTTTTCTTGTCCTAGAGAAAGGCATATCAGAGCAGGTGGTAGAAAGTGGGATTCTGCCTGTTCTGGCTCAGATTTTAAGAAGAAAGAGCACACTCACTACTCACACTGCCAGATTGGTAGCTGAACTGGCCAGAGATGGTAAGAACAAATGTATACATACATAATGCATGTGTTTGTTGGTGTAGCCTTGTGGTTAAGAATATGGGCTGGGCTGTAACCGAAAGGTTGAACTCAAGAGATGATCCATGAACGAGACCTACACCATTACCTCAGGTTGCTTGTGGGTTTGTTTCTCTAATAAGTTGCACTGGATAAACTGCAAATTTTGCAAATAATGGGAGCTTGATATCTAACTTAATACTTATGTATTGACTGTATTGACTGATTATTGATTCTATAATTCCATCTTTCTTTAGCTCCTGTGAGAGAGCAATGCTTTGAGACAGGCATTGTATCTGCCCTTGTGACCTTACTGCTAAGCCAAGACCAGGACCTTCTCCTTCACGTTAGCCAGGCCATCGCCAAGATTTGCTATGACAGCAGTGAGTGAACCTGAACTTTTGCCCTGTTCTTCTAACCACAGGTCTTAATGGCAGTACTGATGTGAGAGCATTAGTCATACTTTAGTATGTCATTGAGTAAGACTCAGATTTTTTTAATGACATTTGTAGCGCCCTATTTACCATAACAAAGGTATTAACTCCCAGTTGATCTGAATTGGATCTGTTTCAGAGGCATTCTGAATCTGAGAGGATGTGACTCAGATGTGTAGTTTCAGAAAATAGTTACAATTTTTCACATTTGAAAGCTTTTGAGAATGCATCAGTTTGTCATTGGCAACAATAGTGTATTTGGATGCTTTCCATATTGTGATTTTGCTGGAACAGGCAGCGTTCACGAGAAGTGGAGTGCGCAAAAGCTGTGTGTGAACATTGTCAGATAATATTTAAATCTAAATAATTTAATGGCAGGATTTTGAGTGAAATTACCTTATCCGTTTCAGCAAACATCAAGAGAGATAATACAATCATAGATTTTTTTTAAGGGATACTTTACCAAAAATTGAAAATTCTGTCATCAGTGTTTTTCTTTTTCTTTTTTTGTCTATCCAACAAAGCTAAAGGGGTTTCAATGTTGTTTTTATTCTTCAAAATGAGGCATGATGACAGGATTTTCATTTTTGGGTCCAGTATCCCTCTGATAAATCACAGATTTTCAGTCTGCAATCTGTATCTTGATGCTGACCCTTGACGTTGGGATTTAAGAGATTATTCTCTTGCCAGACTTGCAGCAGGTGCGATTCCTGAGGCTTGGAGCTGTCCCACGACTGGTGTCGGTTCTTCTCCAGTACAGTGAGAACGAGGCACTGCTGAGCTCTTGCCTTCTGGCCCTTTGTAACCTGGCCGACATGGGCGAAGAAGATGGCACCATGCTGTCCTGGGAGGAAGGGGCGTATTTCGGCGAGGGGGAGCGGGTCTTCCGTGGCACCTCACGGTACTCTTTTGGCTTCTCTTCAGCTGTGACGGTGGTCAGGCTGAAACAGTGGACTAACGGCCAGTACTCTGTGGCAGTAGAAGTGCTTCAAAGGTGCTCCACAATGCTGTGGGGCGCAAAAAACGGCCACCAGACTGGACACCGCTTACCGAACTTTGCCCACCTAGGCAGCTGCCCCAAATTGTATAAAGTTATCAAATGCTCAGTGAAGAACATACCGAGAAACAGGAATCTGAGGGCAGCAGTGCTTCATACCCTCTTGTGAGGCTTCATCGTAGTGCTTTTGGACTCAGAATATTAATGAACGTCTGAGGTGGCCTGGTGTAAACCACGTCCCGATATTTAAGGAGCTCATTTCAGCCACTCATAATAAAGAATGGATCTGAAAGCACAAACATAGAATATAATTGCTCTCAGTTTCCAGTTGCTCAGATGTCACGTCTGAACCCGAGAGTACCAATCGAGAGCCAAAATCACAAGCCAGGTCACAAGACATGTTGTGTCCAAGCAGTTTAAAAAGTCCTACAGATCTACGCTGGCTATACACAGAACATGAGAACAGGTGGACGCCGAGCTGCAATCTGCTAGCCTTTCTGAACTCTGTGATTAGTCCATAAGAGGCCTTACAGTAGTAGATTATCCAGACCCAGTGTTCAGGGTCAGAGCAGCTACACGCACCCAGGTCACAATATGCAACCGTGTTGCAAAATGCACCAAAGGAAATAGATTCACAGATGAGAATCGTGATTTATGTTTACAGTCTTTGGGTCCAAACACAGTCCATGTGAAAGCAGGCTTAACTAATGAGCTACATTTAAGCAGTGTTACATATAATTGGGTTTTAAATTGATAACTGCAAAATGTTGATGTCCATGAATAATCATGTAGAAAACCCCTTCTAAATTGGCCTATGTCCATGTTACATGCATGTAGGCCCAGAAGGGGTGGGGGATTTCACACTGTGTGCAGTGTTCCCACAAACATGAAAAATGTGGAACTATTAAGAGAATATTAATATTGTGTGACTAGCTTTTGCTTTTGTGTAGAGAAAACTTGATACACTACTGTTCAAAAGTTTGGGGTCTGTAAGTGTTTTATTGTTGAATTTTCTCTTATACTCACCAAGGCCGCATATACAATTTATTCTTTTGATGGCAAAGCTGAATTTATAGCCATTACTCCAGTCTTCAGTGTCACATGATCCTTCAGAAATCATTCTAATATGCTGATTTGGTGCTCAAGAAACATTTCAGGATTATTTGATAAATAGAAAGTTTAAAAGAACAGCAATTATGTAAAATAGACTTACTTTGTAACATTATATAACATATATATATATTGTTACTGTCACTTTTGATCAGTTTAATGCTTATTGTTATTTTAAACTTTACTGATCCCAAACTGTTGAATGGTAGTGTATGTCCAAATTGTGAGCGAATCATTCAATAAATCAATCAAACCAGTTCACAAATTGGTCTGAATGATTCAGTATCAATCTCTGTGACCCTACATAGGAAAAGAGGATTGAAGAATGGATGGATGGATGCAAATCAATCTGAATCCAAATGAAACAAAAATCTTATCCATTATTCATAAACAAATGGAATGGAAATGGAAATCCATGGGTTAAAAGTGTGAGAACCCTATGGTACAACTGGACTGTATTTTTACCTCCTGCATCAAGTCACACAGTTGTTCTGATGGGCTTTGAGGAGCAAACTGTTATTTAAAATAATGTAATTAAACACAAAGTTCATTCACCAAATGTATGCTATCAATAAACCTTTTCTTTTGACTTTGTTTAATTCCATTTGATTTTCTGACATCAGTCTTGTATTGAAAAAAAAAAAAAACACTTCCACCTTAAAGATAAGAAAAAAGGCTACCATTGTTTTCAAAGAGAGGAGAGAGGTGGCATTGAGTTTGTAGCATGTTGTTCATTGAGGGTCCTGTACTGTGTCAGCGGATCCCAGCGGGTGCCATTGCCTGACCAGCTCCTGTGGTTTGCTGACCATGTCGTTCCAGTGTTCCAGCTCTCTGCCCCTTGCATACATGAACGGCCCAATCACCACAATGCCCAACAACACTGCCAGTAAAGACAAAATATAGTGACTGAGTACAGATACATAGGTATATTATAATGGTGCCTTTAAAATAATTTATGTCTAAGACCACTGGTGAATGGGGAATGAAACAGTATATTTCTATTATATTTTTATATAATTACATATGTGACCCTGGACCACAAAACCTGTCATAAGTAGCACAGGTATATTTGTAGCAATGGCCAACAATAAATTGGATGGGTCAAAAATATCAATTTTTCTTTTATGCCAAAAATCATTAGGATATTAATTAAAGATCATGTTCCATGAAGATATTTTGTAAATTTCCTACCGCAAATATATCAAAACTTAATTTTTGATTAGTAATATGCTTTATTAAGAACTTCATTTGGACAACTTTAAAGACTATTTTCTCAATATTTTGATTTTTTTGCACCCTCAGATTCCACATTTTCAAATAGTTGTATATCAGCCAAATATTGTCCTATCCTAACAAACCATACGTCAATGGAAAGCTTATTTATTCAGATGATGTAGAAATCTCAATTTCAAAAAATTGACCCTTATGACTGGTTTTGTGGTCCATGGTCACATATTATAATATCAGTATAAAAATTTGACTTAAATTGAGTTTAATTGAAAAATTACCATGATCAGCATATCAATTTAATTAGTGACCTAGAAATAGTGCAGAATCTTTAATATGTGTTATTCATTTTACATTAATATTTGTTTGTTTTATTGTAACCAGTCAGCCAGTTGTGATCAATCAAATTTGGGTATGATATTATTATTATTATTAATAGGGTTTAGTATTTTTTATATGCTATCATAGTTTTTATTAATATTTTTGTTGTATGTGTTTGTCATTTTTTAGTAGTTTTTGTTTTTTCAAAGTATTACTATTTACGTTTAATTTATTTTTATTCCAGTTTTAGTTATAGCTCAGTTTGTTTTTTTCAATTAGTAACTGTAGTGCAAATTAAAATTAAATCTCTTAGTAACCTAGGCAACGTTTCTTATTTTCATTTAGTGTAAGTTTTTCCATCTAATTAAATTTTATTTCAATAAACAAAGGTGTTTTTAGTAGTATTAGTTCATGATAATAACCTTGTTTTTTATTGGAGGTTTTTTAAACACTTTCATTTTGGTTCCCTCTAATATTTTTAATTTAACATAATACTTTGTCTTCTTATATTATTTATTGGAAAGGACTGATTGACAGTTACCGGGCTCCTCTGTGCTGGGCTGCTGGAGCTGTAGGGTCAGACAGGCTGTGTCCAGCCGCATGGGGAGGAGTCTGAAGGTAAGCCTCTCATTAAAGGATGGATTATTTCCTTTCGCTACAGTGGTCCACTTGTTCCTCACCACCTGAGTATGTATCTTCAGAGAGACCTGGGTGCACACACCTGTACCATCCATTTTACATTCAAGTTAAAGGTGCACAAAGACTGCTTGTCACTGTATTGTATTCTTTATTGCTCGGTTTCTCACCTGCATCACTGCAACACTGCAAACCTCGTGCTCGTAGAACAACCACAGTGAGGCGGTGTAGAGACTGATTGTAGTTCAAAGACACCTGGATGTCACCGTTTTTTGAAAGGGGCTACAACAGCAGTAAAAAGAACACATTAGTACAGCACTCTTTCCCCAAAAATTGATTAAAGGGATGGTTTACCCTAAAATTCAAATGTCGTTTTTTACCCTCATGTCATTTCAAACTTGAATGATTTTCTTTCTTCTGTTGAAATTTTTATTTTGTGTTCCACAGAAGAAATTCACACAGGTTTGGAAAGACATGAAGGTGAGTAAATGATGACAGAATTTGAATGTCTGTATAAGCTATTCCTTTAATATTAAAATGTCATACTTGATCACTTTCACTGTCCAGATCCCTCCACTGCACTTTGCCTGCCATCTCCTTCAGTTCAGAAAATCTGAGTGGGATCAGGACTAGACCTACAAGATGGTGCTTCTTCTGATGGTCCACAGTGTACATGCTCATACTCAGAGAGCACTGGTCGACACAGCTCTTAGATACCTGTTAGAAGGCATAGGAATCAGCTTACAGGCCTTATTTTGACTGTACCATTCAAACGTTTTGGGTCAAGATTTTTTTTGTTTGTTTTTGTTTTTTTTTAAAGAAATTAATACTTTATTTAGCAAGGATGCATTAAAGTGATCAACTTACAGTAAAGACATCTATAATGTTACAAAACAATTCTATTTCAAATAAATGCTGTTTTTTTTTTTTACTGAAATAAATGTATTGCCATTTCCCCAAAAATATTAAGATTAAAATTTCAGCACTATTGCAGATTGTTTTATTGATAGTTTGAATTCTTTCTTTTTTTTTGTTATATTTTATGTATTTGTTTATTTATTTATTTCAGTTTTAGTATTTTTGTGATTCTGTCACTTTTATTATTATTATTTTTTAAAGTGTCTATAAAGTTTTTTTTATGGTTTTAGTTCTAGTTAACTATAATAACCTTGTTGAACAGCAAATCAGCATATTAGAAAGATTTCTGAAGGATCACGTGACACTGAAGACTGGAGTAATGATGCTAAAAATTCAGCTTTGCCACCACAGGAATAAATTACATTTTAAAATATATTTAAATAGACACCATGAATTTTAAATTGGAATAATATTTCACAGTATTTCTGTTTTACTGTATCTAGACAGATAAATGCAGTCTTGTTGAGAATAAGAGACATTTTATTTATATTTATACAGATTTCATAAACATTAAATAATCAGCAGCTTGTTTATCAGCTTGTCACAAACTTGTACGGAACCCAGAATATGCTCAGAGGAATGACTCCATAAACCTGCTTGCAATGGCCAGTAGATGGAGACATCAACTATGAAATTTCTTCTCTAATTTCAAAAAGTTTCTCCATTATTTAAAACAAAAATATTTTTGAAAATAAATTCACAAACAAATCAAGAAACGTTAGTTAAATGCACTTGTATTTCCATATAATGGGGAAGATTGATGATGTACCCACATACAGAGAGACGAAGACTGCCAATGTTTATCAGGAGAGACTCTTTACCTGAAACACAAAGGTGTCGTTGAACTGCGGATGACAACCTTTCCGTCGTGCTTTGGCTTGACGGTGTCGTCGGTCATCAGACGGCAACAGCTGCAGTTTTACCAGTGTGACATTACCCTGGCACTGAGCGGGCAGGTTAGCAGCACGGAGCAGAGACACCACCAGCTGCTCTCTCTCCTGCTGATACTGCAGAGCGAACCACAGACGAACAGCTGAGCCATTGGGAAGAGCCCATTCACTGGGCTCCTCTGGGAGCTGGTACAGGTCTGGTCTTATGCTGCCCAGGGGGAACCAACCTCAAGAACCACATAGAGCAGAATGAGAAACAAACAGTCAAAACATTCTCTTTACACTTTCTTTGTATCATTGTTTCTGATGCCTAATGCCTATATTGCAGTCCTGACATACTCCCTACTGTCAGAGAGTCTTGCTGGGTGTGCAGATATGGATAGAGTTCCCATTCGTCAGCATGCTCCGTTTCTTCTTTCCCCTTGTTTAGTTGAGGTGTTCTCTTGAATCGAGGAGGCACAAAGAAAGGAACACCACCTGAGCTGTGAAAATTCAAAGATAAGAATGGGTAGATGCACTTCAATCCACATTTCATAGGGAATGCTATAAGAGAGATCAGAGCCAGATGTCACACTTTAATTAAAATATGAATTTTTCTATTATATTTATTTTATTTTACATTTTTATATTATTTATTTACTTATTATGCTTATTTACCAATCTCACACATTTTACGTTACTAAATGTGAACTTTTATATCTATTTATTATATTTATTTTATATTTGTATTTATATTATTATTTATATTATTTATTATTTATATTAGTTATTTACTCTGGCTTATTTACAGATGTCACATATTTTATGTTATTAAAATGTGAATTTTTATATCTATTTATTATTTTTAGTTATTTTAAATTTTTATATTATTTATTTACGCATTTTTTACAAATAAATGTTTATGTCTGCATATAATGTGTATTTATATATTATATAATGTGTATTTTATAGCTGCATATAATTTTATTAAGAAATAAAAATAAACAATAAGTAAATAAGTCTATAATAAATAACATTTTTATACTTTTTCATTGTATTATTTATTTACTTATTACTTATTGTTTGTTTGTTTGTTTGTATGTTTATTTTCTTACACTTTTATATCTGCATATAATGTATATGTAGGTTAAAATGCAATTAGGATAAACTAACAAACAAACAAATAAATAAATGCTATAATAATAGCTTTTAATATAGTAACAAATTAATAATAATATTTATTAATTGACATTTAATTAGGAAATACAAATAAATAATATAAAAATTCACATTTTAGTAAATCTAATACCATGAAGGATTGGCTAAAAAAAAAAAAACTGTTATACTGCTAGAGAAAATATCTTTGTGCACACAAAACGTTATTAGTCCTTGTGACAACTAGTCCCAGGCTCCCTTTACTGCTAAAAAAGCCCAAGAGCTTGAATGGGATGCATTTATTCAATTTAGTTCACCTTACATTGCAATGATACTGTATACAGCTTGTATTCTTGCTATTTCTAGACAAGCAACAACTGTTATTTACCCATAGCTGCTGCTCTGTGATGTCTGAAGCACTGGAGTGGTGCATCGTGGGATTGTGGGGGTGGTAGGTATCAGTCCCCTGTAGAGTGTTTGATTTCGTCTCTTCCTCCACAGTAGATACACTGATAGGCCAAACAGCAACAGGAACAGAAATGCTGCAGACAGTCCACAAGCCAGTGCTACAAGTGGATCTAATGGCACAAACACAAAACAAACTCAGCGTCCAGTCACCCTCCCCTCTCACTCAGTGTTTCATACAACAGAGAACATGGCTTTGCATTAACTAAACCTGCTGTGTGACACCATTGGACAGTCTCATTCTCTCATGCCTTTTGAATAGAAGTGTCAAGTGTCTTGTGTCAACACACTTTAGTGGAGACCTGCGTGCAAGAGGTGGAGCACATTGTGTTTTTGCTGCTCAAGAAACACAGTATTTCTGGAGCAACAGCCTGTTTTATACTTTACTGTAGGGGATTTACTGCAGCCACCTGGAGGGTGAACCAGAACTTCCTAACAGGTATTGTACTCATTTAATACAGCTCATAGTTTAGAAATTAAGAGTGAAATTTATATAAATGTTGAATATGATATAATAATATACTAAATACTATATTATAGTATCTCTTTAAGACTTGCTGTGATTAGTCAAGGATTTAAAAAAGGATCTGTACACTAATTAAATGTAAGCAAACAAGCTTAATGTTATAGTATTATTTGAAGAGTTTATTTGCAAAAACAGATAACTCCGTTTTGTTACATTTTCAAAAATCATGTTTTTTATTATGTAATCATGTTTTTATTGTGTTTTATTGTGTTAGTTAGCTGTAATGTTTAGTTATTTTTTAACCTAATCAAAATGATATATATATATATATATATATATATATATATATATATACATTTTAACATTTTTATATTATATTATATTTTTAAAAATCTGAAAATAATTCTATAATGTTAAGCTTGTTTGCTTACTTTTACATTTAATTAGTATACAAATCCATGTTTAAATATGAGATAGTTCACTCAAAAAATAAAACTCTGTCACCATTTACTCACGCTCATGTCGTTCCAAATCTGTATGACTTCCTTTTTTCTTTGAAACATTAAAAGATGATATTTTGACTATTGTCCATACAGTGTTCAATGGGCTCTGGTGTTGTTTTGGACCCCATTGACTTTCATTTTAGGATAGATCCATTCTTTAAAATATCTACTTTTGTGCTCAGATGTTGACAGAATTTTCATTTTTGGGTGAACTGTCCCTTTAAATAAGCTTTTTACATTCACAGTTGTTTCTCAGATAGTAACTACTGGTATCCATAAGCTAAAAGGGAGAGCTTATATATATGCATTTAAGCAGCATACTCTCATAATTGCACATTTTAAGGGCACTTTGCCTCACTGGTCAATAATTGTTCAATTGCACATGAAGATTATTAGTGTACAGGGGTCAACCATCTGCTCAGCAGTGTCTATTAGCATATCACATTAGCACGCACAGAAATACATGTCGCTATGACAGCACTAGACCCTCATGTCTGGTAAAGTAAGCTTCTGTGCAACTAACATACATAGCATGTAATAACGTGTCTAGAGCAGCTTACATTAAGTTGTATAAGATGATCAAATATTTGCAGCCTGGTAAAACAAACAATGTCATCTGTTTGTCTTAAAGATCCACTATCACATAGTAATATATCTGTGTAAAATAGGTCTCAAGTATAGTTTGTACAACAGTTTCTAATAATCTTCTACTCACCGGCCATGGATGGCCACAGTCTGTCTAACTCCTAACTGAATAAAGTCTCTCTTTCTCTCCAGTAGAGTCAGTGTGAATCACCGGTTTCTCATTTTGCCCAGAGGCCATCTCATGGGCGCTCTTCCCGATGTCCCATTGAGAGTAAGCTGTGTCTTCTGACAGCCTGGTCACCCTACAGCAGGGTACTACAGTCCCCCTGAGGCTTCCCAGGATAGTTCATCAACACCGAACACTGGCTCAAGCAGGTGAGCGATATGAGCTCTGCCAGTTGCAGTATTTATTTCCAAACAGACACAAAACTTTGGTGCAGTCCAGTGAGCATACAAACTGTGACTGTTTACAGGCAATTAGCAAGCTAACAGGACTTCCAAATAAAAGTGGCAATTGCTGAAAGCTATTCTGAAATGTTTAATTGAACAATGGATGTGACTTCTGTAATATGATTTGATCTCAGTGAATCAGCCACCACAGGGCTCATAGACTGTGGTTTAATAACTACAGATTGAATGTTATGGTGTCTGCAACAGCTGCATTCACTAAGCGTTAATGAATAACTCTTGGAGAACAGGGGAAGTTTATCAAGGCTGCAATCAGGTGACATGTCTGCTTTTCCCACAATACCTCTAAATGTGGTTAACTTGCATGGAGTTTCAAGACATTTGATTGCAATAAAAACACCAGTTACGTACTCTAAACTCATCTCGGATGCTGTATGTAGTAGCATAAACCTAATTGAATTGAGTAAAGTCCAATAAAATTTGATGTGTCAAAGTAACTGATGTTGGATCTTGGCTGGCAAGAGCTAGCTAGCAACAGTGCATGTTAGCACCTTAATATCTAGTTCTATGCAAAGCATGCTGGGAACCCTGTCCAGTTTCAGATTATGTCAACAAAAATGTTAATGTAGTCTCAACACAAATGGATTTAGTCATCTGCATTTTATAAACAAACTGGGCAATGAAGTTAAGATAAAATATTTAAGAATTTTGTCCCAACTAATTTTCAGTAAACTGAAAAAGCAGCAAACATTTTTTTATATATATTAGACCATATATAGTATGCATCATATTTCCAGTATTATATCTAATAATAAAACACATTTGTCTGTAAGAAGTAATCATCTTATATCATGCACTGAAAGTGAACAATTTAAAGTTATAGTTCACCCCAAAATTTTGTCATAATTGACCCTTCGCAAAGACCCTTCCCCTTACTGTTACTACGTCTGACAAGCCACACATCATGTTCTCACGCAGTGAAAAACTTATTGTAGAGCAAAGGACAATGGACAACGTGGAGGACAATGACAACATGCCGACAACAAAGTATAAGCTTTCAAATTTTGTCATTTTTTTAAAAGAAATTCAAACAATAAATCCATTTTGTGGCTCTTTAATGTGTTGTGACAGATCACGGTAGCGCCTCAGTTCAAGCGGCATGTGAACCGATCATCTCTTCCTCTTTACTAGTTATAGCACGAAATAAGCATGAATGAACATCAGAAGGTATCTTGTTTCAACCGCGGAAAGACGTCAGTACACACCATTTTTCAAGTTCAAGTCCACCGACGTTAATCTCGTTAATACTCTCCTGTCTGGTTTGTTTGTCGGACAAAATGGCAGATTCAGTGTTATGATTGGTCAGATCGCCTGTCAATCAAAATCCTTGCAAAGGGTGAATTGACTTACTTTCATGACATTCCAGACCTGTGTGACTACTTTCTCTGTGGAAAACACACACACACACACAAAAAAGAAAACAGAATTTTTTGTACATATACTTAAAGTCATTGGGAACCCCAGCATTCTTCAAAATATTTTCTTCTGTGTTCTGCAGAAAAAAAGAAAGTCATACAGGTTTGAACTGACATCAGTACAGATGAGAACAGAATTTTAATTTTTGGGTGAACTATCACTTTAAGTTAATTTCAAGGAGTCTTGCCTAATATAACATTCAATTAAGGCTGGGCATAAGAGTTTATAATTCCAGTGGAAATACACCTGACACACCTGATTTAATGTATCAACAAATAGACAGCATCTGTGTTATTATGCCAACAAAATGTCGTTACAGCAACTGGTCCCAAATGTCTCCGTAAATAGGGAAAAAAACGTTCTGGTTTGTTCAAGGGCGATTAAAAACGTAAACAATGTAACTTCAGCATGTTTATACACAAAACAACATGTCAGGATTCTGCCTTTGCGTAACCTCTGAACCGGAGTTATTATGGAACAGGCGACCTGTGAGTTTGCAATGCCAAGTATATGGACATGTGAATCAGAAAGATGAGTCACAGACATATATCATAATGGTTTCTTGGCACCACAAGCCCTTCTTTCAAAGGGACTGTTTTCATTGTTCCCATGACAACTTAAAAAAAAGACATGATGAAAATTCATTGGGTTCCTATTGAGCATGGCTGTTTCTATAGCAACAGGAAGAGAGAGACTGGATGAGTAAGCAGCAGGAGCTACGAGTGTGTGAGAATGAACATGTGTGTGTAAGAAAGATAGAGTATTTATTGTATTGATTTGGAAGGATATCTGATTTCCTTTTGTGACATCTCAATAGTACCTACCTGTTCTTTCTCTAAATCCCACTTCTCACCCCATACACACACTTTTTTACACAATTGTGCTCCCCTCCATTGGGCATACAGCGCTCCTTGCCACCCACCATTTCTGTCTGTGTGTCTTTGCACCTCCTCCCCCCTCCACGGTGGATTTCCTCTCAGAGAGGGAGCGTGTGGTGTGTAATCAGATGACAACGGCTGATAATCCAGCAATACACCCACTCTGTCCTGTTCACTTAGAGCGGAGCGAGAGAGCAGGAGTGGAGGAGAGGAAAGAAGTGAAGGAGGCGGGATCCGTCTGGGCTGAGGGGAAGGAGACGAGAGGAGGAAGTGGGAGGTATGTACGTGTGCATGTGTGTGTGTGTGTGTGTGTGTGTGGAGGGAGGGAGGGAGGTTGTTGACTTACCTGTGGCCATGAGGGAAACCGTAGCTGTGTCTTCATAAAGCAAGTGCTGCTCAGTTTGAAAGGAAATGGTAAAACGAGATGAAAAGGAAGGAAAGACAAAGGGTGACACAAGGTCTTGACTGGATCATGTATGTTTGCTAATAAAATCAAAAGGTGAGATCTTTCTTGTTTGATTTTCTTGTAGGGGATGAGAGGTTCACTGGAGTGTTTATATTTGTGTGTGTGTGTGTGTGTGTGTGTGTGTGTGTGTGTGTGTGTGT